TCTCATCGCATTTATTGCTGCTATAAATAGCAGCCCATTTCTCCTTGTAAAGGATCCGAACTCCACATCTCGAGTTTATTTAATAAAATCGACTCTCTCTCCTCCCATTTGCTCTGACTTCTCTCTAGTTATTCCCGCAATAACCCCTCGGATAAGATACCCCGGGTAGACTATCCATCACATTACTTGAAATGATGTACGGAGTAACAATTAGTTCAACGTCCTACTTTATTCTTAGATGATTCATTTCTTAGTCTAATAGGGTAAAAATTATTAGGCTAGAAGCCTAGAATCCTGCCATTTTTGGTGGTTATAAATCATAGAATTTTATAATACCGAACCTGATCAAAAGTGGTTATTAATAATTATTACATATAGATCGTCACTTAATTAGCCCGTGATCTCATGAGCCCATGGAGCCTATCCGTCTATTTGCAAAATCCCCAGTTCTGGCCATATGGATCGTGGGCCGGCCCATCAAGAGCATCTTGGCCCTGCCCGTTAAGCTCAACTGAGCCCAGCCTAGAAGCCCTTTTGCAAATTATTAGTTTTAGAAGTTGCTCTAGGCAGGACTAAAAATTCCCTAAAATGCTCAAATATGACTATTACATTTTAAGGTTTATTTTTTTTTTGAATTAAAAAAATAATAATAAAAATAGTAAAAACCCATAAAAAATTAAAAAAAATATGGATACCTTTCCCACCGCCTCCCAGCATCATCACCTCCAAACGGTGAAAATTCTGCCATTTCTATAAAAAAAAAATGCCATTTCGCCCCCGAAAATGGCATTATTACTCTTCATAATGCAAATAATCTCATTAAATCTGCCATTATTATGGTATTACTAAAAATGTTGGCAGATTTCCAGGTGATGCTGGGGTGACAGAGTTTTTTATTCATTTTGTTTTTTTAATTTTTTTTTAATTTTATAAATATTTTATAAATATTTTACTGTTTTTCTACGTTTTTTGTTTTTTTACGTTTGTATTATTATTTATGATTTTAATATTAACTAAGACATTTTATAAGCTACAAGAGTATATTTGTCGAAACACACATAAATAATCCTACTGGGGATAATTTAAAAGATGTGGTCTTATTTGTGCCCTTGGTTCACTTTTTTGTCCTATTTAGGTAATTCACTCTATTAGTTTTATACACTAATTTTATAATTACTAACACATACGAGCTAAGTAGTAAGTACTAATTCCAGAAAATAAAGTATTGGGTAACATATACAACTTGAGAATTTTAGGTAAGGAAGAATAAGTGTGGTATTTGTGTATTGGTACATCTATTTTATAAGAGTGCACTACAAAAAACTCAGATATAAATAATCTAAACTTTCATTTTATTATTACATTTATTGGAGTAATAAATTCTTTTCATTGATTTAGTTGATTACATTGTATTTTCTAATTCATAAAGAATTTTGTATTTTTCTTATAAGTCCACCTGACCCAGTCCTTTGGATGACATGGGCTAACCCAATCTGACCTCTTAAGCCAAACTACATAGGCAGGTTAGGATTACAATTTTATTACAAAAGCCCAACCCACATATTAATTTCGTAGTAATTTTTATATATTGAGCCCAACTGAGCCCAACCTAGCCCGACCCGTTGATGATCCCTATCCATAAATATCGAAACTTGAAACTACATGAGCGCAAATAAAACAAAACTAGTACATGTAGATCATGTGTACATAGGCCTGTAAATGGGTCGGGTCCGGGCCGGAACGTAGTGTTCCAGAACCATACCCGCTAAGTTAATAAAGGATCCGGATCCGACTCATATAACCATCGGGTCTAAAATTTTGGATCCAGACCTGGACCCAACAGGTCTCGGAACTGGGTCGGGTAGACCCACCAAGCATGAATGATATGCACAGCATTATAAATTTTGTGACAATAACAATACAAATATATGAAATATAAAGCAAAGCGCGCAAACTTAAAAGCAAAATATATCTTCACTTTTCAAAATGAAATTCGAGATTTCTTAAATAAAATTAGTACTTTCATCCAATAACATATTGGTTCTTGTAGAGGTCTATAACTCCACACTCTGGTCTCTTACTCTGGCACAGAAAACTCGTATGTTAGACTATAAATTAGGTCACAAAAAAGATCTCTTGAACTACTGAGAGTATAGAAGCATATTATATATGATGATAATAATAATAATAATAATAATAATAATAATAATAATAATAATAATAATAATAATAATAATAATAATAATAATAATAATAATAAATATTGGGCTTTGCTACCGAGTGCAACACACACTTTATCAGTATATATAAATAGCCAAAATGGGTATTAGTTTTAGGGTATCTCGATTGGTATCACGTATAGAGTAGATATGTATTAGTGTGTATCTTTTTATTAAAGAATTAAAACTAGTAACTTTATGTATTACTACCTACGTCCCATTTTATGTGTCTCATTTGATTTTGACACAATTTTTAATAAAGTGATTGAAAAGGTAAAAGTTGTGGTTGAGATTTGAGTATAATAAAGTGAAATGTTATGAACCACATATTTCTTTTCAAAAGAGAAAAGATGACACTTATTTTGGGAGAACTCAAAAAATAAAGTAAGACAAGTAAAATATTGGGGGCTTTTTACTTAATAGTAGAAGGCCCCAATAAAAATAACTTGTGCCCACATCGATCAATAATGTTCGTCACTCATTTATTTTGATTGTCTATTGAATCAATAACTTGTTCCTTCTTAATTAACTAATGATCGATTAATTAAATTTAGAGTTTAATGTAATTTACTTTATTTTGAATCAATTTTTTGGAACAGATTGTAGAAATACTATAAGAGAAAACCACTTCCATCTTATCATAATTAATGGGGTGAATGGGTGATGAAGAAAAAAATTTAATTGGTATGCATTAATGTGTGCTCCTTCATTGTTTAAGTAATTGGTTTGAATACTCTCCCTTCAGATCATGCACAAAGGAAAAGAGTTTTTGGATATCAATCTAATCAAATATGGAGTAGATAAATAAAAAGAAAATACTCACTAAATGAAAACTTCTTATATAAGCCTACAACATAAATAAAGTGTGCATACAGTACCATCATTATTTTCTTCGAAAAATAAGACGTATTCACTCCAAATAGGGAAATTTTGTAGTTTTAATCGGGTCAAATAAGTCAAATTTCAGAAATAAAATACATGTAGTTCTATTTGTGCATTTTGTCTAAATTTTAGTCCTATTTAGAGCAATTTCTAGTCAAACTTGTGGTCATGATTTTCCTCAATAAATGATAGGAAAAGACAACGATACAAAAGATGTCATGATGAAGGTTTCAAAAAATGAAAACTTATAGAGAGTAATTGTGATAAAAGTGATATTTTGTATTTGAATAATGTTATGAATTTTATGTTTTAAACTTTTATTATATGTTCTTGTTTCAATCTCTAATGACTTTACTAATAAGGTGCCCCAATAAGTATATTTCCTTGATCCGCCCCTAATTATTAGACAATATGGGGGAAACTCTGATCGTTAATGTAGTATGTACTGTGTAGGGGCGATTTCAAATGTTTGCGTTTGTAGCACTTTGAGAAATGATTTGTTTTAGGTGAGATGTTTGTACTTGAACTAAAATTTTCTTATCTGGTCTGGACTGAACTGGTCTGATAAATATCTGGTCTTTGTGTATTTTATAACTATCCAAATCTGATCAGGTCTGAGATTGAAAATAATCCAAATAAAAACATCGTTGGTAGTGTTGGTATTATTTTTTAAAAGAATAAAACCCTCTTTAAGGTGGTGGTCTCATGAAATGAAAAGGAAATAATGGAGATGTAACATACTCCCTCCGTCCCAAATGGTTTTGCAAAGTCAACATTTTTTGGTCAACCAATAATGAAAGTCAATGTTGTGTGTAGATAATTGATTTAATTTTTAATAATTAAAATTTATATATTCAGAAACTACATTAAAATCTCTTCAGAGTTGTAAACACCAAATTAGAATATCATTAAAAATTGACATCCTAATTAAGCGAATAAAATGAAAATGACATCCTAATGTTCTTTGTCTTTTATGATGCTAAATGATATGCATAACAAGTCTACATCTCACGGGAAAGTATATGGATTCTCATTAGATTTCACAACAAAAAGAAGCATCAAGTTACATTTGAAAAAAAGATCCTCGAGCATGCAAAAGAGTCACCAAAATAATAGACTATGCATGATAATAGAATACATAGACAAATGATCACCTCAGGTACATCTGACGAGAAGCCCCGTCTGAACTTACCAAATTTGATGAAGTTTTTTTAGCATGTTTTTCATGAAGTCTAGTTTGTTCACAATACAATTTAGCTAAAAATTAAATTGGGAAGGGAATCAAATAGTTTTTGGACGATAACTGCGCAAAAATATACATATAAAAACGCAGTTATCTTCCAAAATTTATTTGACTGCCTTCACGGTTGAATTTTTAGCTGAATTTTTGTGTGGATAAACTAGACTTGATGAAGAACATGCCAAAAATATTTTATCAAAACTACCTGAGGTGATCTTTTCCGAGAATACATATATCTAGAGTTCATTTTATGACACCAAATTAATTGAATCGATTGAATGTACTGAAGTAGATGAAATCTAACTAAAATACTTAATATGCAGAATCATGAAAAATGTATATTTAAAATATATTACATAGTATGTTAATAAATATAAAAAATTATAGGGAAAAGAGGCAAATAAGCCCTCGAACTAATAAAAAAGTGCAAATCACCCCATATATAGGAACTTCTGTCCGGCCGTCGCCATTTGGGGCGGTTCCCGATGGAATTTTTTGATGAATTTTTTTGAGCATCTTCTTCATTAAGTCTAGTTACCCATACAAAATTTCAGCTAAAAATAAAACCGGGAAGGTAGTCAAATGATTTTCTGAAATATACCACGCTCTTTAACTGAGCAGTTATCTTCAAAAGTTCATTTGGCTGCCTTCCCGATTGAATTTTTATCTGAAATTTGGTATGGGTAAAATAGATTTAATGAAAAAGATTCTAAAAAAATCATCAAAAAATTCCACCGGGATCCTTCCCAAACGACGACGGCCGGGCAGAGAATCATATATAAGGGGTGATTTGCACTTTTTTGATTAATTCGAGGACTTATTTGCTCCTTCCCAAAATTATATGAAGAATAGGTACAATAATCATGTTCAACAATTCAGTCAATTCTGTTCAAAAAAGTAATCCAACTTGTAGATTTGTACTCCATCCGTCACTTGTAACTTTGTCATCTTACTTTTTTGGGATGTTCTAAACTTTGCCACTTTACCTTCTAATCAATGAATTTGTGGTTGTTATTTCTCTCTTCTCTGCACACATCTCAACCACACAGTTTTTAGTTTATTAGTTCTTGTGCTAGTCAAATATGACAAAGTATTGAGGGACGGAGGGAGTATATCTTGGAAAAATTTCAGTGGCAATGCTTCTTATTTGAAAGAGTCATGCAATACAACAATAGGTACCCCATTTTTACCTCACGCCTTGTGCGGTCCAAATGAGACCACATATAAAAGTGTTGCCCCACTTAAATGTATTGCCCCATTTGTGGCCAAACAATAGGTGGGGGGTAAAATGGAGACAATAGGTGGGGTAATATATCAAAGATACCCCCTTATCTGATAATGGTGAAAACGAATAAAGTGTTCTGGCTTGAAAGTGCCAATGGTGATATCTCTATATTCATCTTGTATCAAAGCCAATCTCACCAGAATATGAATAGGTCCCCGCAATTCTCATGATATGTGTTTTCGGAACACTTTACCCATTCCTTCGGGCTCTAATCACTTTACTCACGGTGTACAAAGCAGCCGTGGTTGAAAACAGCATCTCAGACCCGGATTCAGGAACTAATGGTGAAAACGAGTAAAGTATTCTGGCGTGCTGTTAAAGTGGGTGATAATCCACAATCCATCTCAATCCTCAGGGAAGAAGTCAGAAGAAGCCAGGGCGTCGAAAGCGATCACCCCAATTTGTTGGGAATCCTGCCGCCCATATTCACCGCTTCTCATGATTATGGGCATGGAGGAACAAAAGAGGGTCTGTGACTATGGGCATGCTCTGTGAAGCCTTCGCTGTCGTCCCGATGCATGACTATGGGCATGGCTCTGTGAGGAACATCATGAGAACAAGCGGCGGCGACGGGTTTCAGGGCCGGAAGGATCTCATTCTCTGTGTGCTCAGATCAATTCTCAAGGCTCTCCGCTTCCTTCATAAGCAGCGCATTCCGCACGGAGATATCAGCGCTGGCCACATTTATCTCATAACCCCGTTCCGCATCATCCCTGCGTGTTACTACTCTCTCCTCGTGTTGGGTTTTGCTGCCAGCCTCAACCACGACGGAGACGAACCCCCCCATCTCTCAGTGGGCTGCTGCACCAGAAATTGCCTCCCATAGTAATAATGGTGATGAGCCGTGGCAGTCGTCTCCGGCGGCTGACATTCGGCAGGTGGGAATCACGGCCTTGGAATTGGCCTACGGCGCCAGCGACCTCCAGCTCCCGGACCGGAATGCTTTGGAGGCCATGGTTAAGGACATGGTTCGCAACAACAAACTCCCGGTGGCACCTGCTGCAACAATTCATGAAACATCAAACCAAGCCACCAAAACATCGGAGCCCAAAAATTTGTTGACACTGCATCAATTCCTTCGGATCACTTTAAAATCTCTCTCGAACCCGCATCAATTCAAGGCCTGGGTAGAGAATCCATATGACCACTGCATTACAACCCTCTTCTCCAACAATGGTGGAGTATACAAAGCCTCACTTTTCTCTCTTCTACTGGTATATTACCCCTCACACTCAATAGCACAATAGAGTTCTGAAAGAAACCTCTCATCATAGAAACTCATGTAGCTTTCTCCTTCATGGCAGCCTCCATCCCTCTTTCCAACTGTCTCAGTTCCTCATCCAACCCTCTGAGGGCTCTGACTCTACTTTTTCAAGCCATTGCTCCATCATATTAGTTGGCGAGTTCATATCCGATTTTGTCGATGCAACACGCTTGTTGTGCTCCTCGAGGCAACAATGGGATCAGTGACGAAATACACTGAGAGTTCAATCACTACATAACGAAAAGTGGCTCCTGTTAATTAGCAAAAGCTAAAAACAGCAGTCACTCCGGTCAAAAAAATAGCAAACGCAGAGTGAAAGACAGCACACTTGAGCAATAACACTCATTTCAAAGATTTGGTTTTCATAAAGGAATTGAAGGGCTAAGTAATACAAACAAGTAAAAAATAATACAGGCATATGATCTCTTTGTTGAATTGCTATGCTTACATACATAACAGGGCTGAGCTGTGTTATATAACATTAGAGGCAACAGCATGAGCCCAGAACTTAAGATGATTTTTCATTTCCATTTCATTGCCAAAAGCAGATGGAATTCTCCAACTCCCTATTTGACTCTGACTACTACTATTATTATCATTATCCCTCTTTTGTTCTTCCATAGCATCCCATGCTTCTGAAAGGTAAGGCCTTGAAACATCTGCTGCAATCATTCCACCATATTCAGAAACCCCCCTCTTTTGCAGTCCAGGGATGATTGAAACCAGCAGATCTGAATCTCTATCCACATCCGAGAACACAAACCCTAGATCCATAAACCCTTTTACTTCCTTAAACTCAAGATCTGATAAGCTCTTACTGTTCCTTTTAACAGTATCCTTCCTTCTCATCCTCCTGCGGCTACTCTTAATGTTCCTGAAGCTCACATCATCACCGCTGCTACTGTTAGAGATGCTCGTCTGATCGGAGAATTCCTTGCCGGAAAGAATGGGTTGGAGCTGAGGCCTGGGCTCGAGAAGAACGGACTCGGGAGAGGGTTCTTCTGCATCCATGGAGGGGTTTTCGGAGCTCAAACATTTGTCACTGAAAGATCCAGAAATAAAAGTTGTGGGGGCTCTGGAAAGCTCATTGTTGGGATTTACTGTGTCTTCCTGGGTCTTGGATGATAATGTTGTGGCTGGATTTTTTGAAGTGAGAATCTCGTATTCGAACCAGAAAGAATCGAAGAGGGTAAGCAGTGTAGTGGGAGGATGTTCATGTTCAGCTCCCATTTTTGTTTAGACTAGAGGACGAAGAAGAAAAGGTTACGCACTGAGAAGAAGATTGGTAGAAACAAGAAAAAAGTCAAAAGACTGTGTTGGTGAGGACCGTGATTATGTGGTAGACCCCCCTCTCCCCCATCTTGTTTGATTCCCTCAATTAGGGGTGGGCAAACGGGTCTTGGAACCGCGGTCCGGTCCGGGTAATGGCGGTTCGGGTCCAAAACGGGCCGGTTCCATTTTTTGTTTCCATAAAACGGTCCGGGTAGGGTCGGGTAATTTTTTTTAAGGAACCGGACCGGTTCCAAAATTAAAAAATAATGGGTACCCGGCCCGGCCCGTTATATATATTGTATATTAATTTATTAATAGTTTTGTGATAATCGGTTTTGAAGTAGTTTTGTTTCCTGTGCTAGAAGTAGGATTTTAAATTGAGTTGCAGTAACATCCTTTTGTTTTCAAATTATTGATTAAATGTTTCATAAATATCTTATTACTTTTTATTGTTATTGAATTATTTCTTTCTATGGAATTTAATTATTTGTTAAAGATGATTTTGTTATATTTTTTATTATATTGTTATTAAAATATATAAAAAGTGTTTACCACCCACCATGTATGTGTCAACTTTGGCTAATACTGAAAATTTAATATAAAAAAAAGTAATCACTTTAATATGTGATGTTACACAACATGTTTAAATACAAATGTTAGAAAATATGTATTTTGGCTATGTTGCATATTTTTGGAATTTCTTTAATTGTTTGAAACTTATATACAAGAAAATATGGAGTATTGGACTTTTTCGCTTGTGTTATATATGCACCACTATGTTGTTATTTTGAAACTTGCTAATGTCCTATATTATTGATTATTGATTTTTGGAACTTCGTTAGTTTTTACTAATTTCAAGACATAAGAATAGAAACCGTAAAATCCGGACCGGACCGACCCGTTTCAAACGGACCGGGTAATTACCGGTTCCTATTTTGAAAATTGTAATACCCGAACCGGACCGAACCGTACAATGGGACCGGCGGTTCCATTTTATTTTGCATTACCCGCCCCGACCCGGCCCGTGCCCAGCCCTACCCTCAATGAGTTTGTTTGATTGATACTCCCTCCCTATCTTTTAAACTTCAGTGTTTGATTTCACAATTATTATGGAAATAAAGTTGAATTTACTGTAGTGTACACTGTTGAGACACTGTTTGGCACTTTTGAGACACTTTTTGTTACTGTTTCGTACTGTTTAGCACTATTTTGATGTAGGTTTCTTTGCCAAATAAGGAAATAAGGAAGTGTAAAGTTTATTTTAGATCGTCCCAAAAAGAAAAGTGTGAAGTTTATTTAGAACCGGAGGGAATATTAAACTCGGGATTGGTTTGATTCCTACACAAAATAGATGGAATGGTTTGAATTACAAAATTTTACAAATCACCATGAAATTTGTGCGGTTGTGCCAAAATAACATTCAACGTTTGAATTACAAGAAATACAAATATGTCTATCATCATTCAAACCTCAAAAGTTGAGTTTATAACATAAATACATACTAAACCAAAAAATTTAGTAATAAAACAAATTAAAATATTCACTACAATAAATAATTATGATCTAGAATCAGCAGCGTAATTAGCCAGCAAAAAAGTTCATTCATCTCAAAGGGTCACAAGTAGAGCACTCATTTCCAATCACTTGGACCTCTAATGAGAAACCCGTTAAAATAAATAATATTATTAAACACTTAAATAATAACTAAACTAAAAGAATCAATGTAATATAAAATAACTAAGTAAATATACATTATTATATGTAAATATACATTATTAGTAAATATGTATACTAATAAGAAATATATAAAATTTTAATTATTATATATAACGGTTTCTTAACAGTTTCATGTATTTGTTTTTCCAGAAATCGAGAACGAACCAAACCATTAATAAGAAATATGAACCAAACCATCAACAAGTAACTAGTAAATGTTGGAACCGAAACGAACTGGCTCATAATAGTCCTGTCCGGTTTGGTTCTCCGGTTCTTGGTTCCAAGGCCCCAACTCGAATTGATAGCGAGTACTCACTACTCCATCCCTAACATTATATCTTCTCACTTTTCTTTTTAAACCGTTACATTTATATCTTCTTATTTTTAAATCTTCCTATTATACCCTCAATAATTTTGAAAAATATACACTATTACAATTAATTTTTTTGGATTATTCTTCATTCCGACACACTATTTCTATCTTCTAAATATCTAATCATACTCTCAATGATTTATATCCCATTTCACTACTTTTAAATGAGAATACATAAATGTTGCAGAGGTAGTATTAAATAGATAAAATAAGAATAAAATATAAATAATTTATAATTACACAAACACTACCAATTTCAGATTAGACAATTTTAGTGTCATGGATCCAAAAAGAAAAATAAGATAATTTTAATGCTAAGATGGAGTAATGGCGTAAATAATTTTAGGGCCGGCATTACATTTTGCCAAAAATTTGATACGGAATATTTTTTTTGCTGGACTTTCTTTCTTATAGTACCTTCTCATTGGGAGTAGTACCATAGTACCATATTGATGCCATCTGATTACAAAGTGCTTGACAATACGGAGTAAAATTTAGGAATAATGACAAAAGTAAGACAATGAGCCACTTGACAAAAATAAGACATGATTTTCCTATGGACAATAAAGAGAGAAAAAGAAACTGCATAGACCAAAATGCCCTCAAATTCTGATTAGCATCTCACTTCAGTCTCTATGCATAGACCAAAATGCCCTCAAATTCTGATTCGCATCTCACTTCAGTCTATTAGCAGATGTTCTCTTCATCTGGTCCGAATGTTTATGATCTGAATTTTTTAAGTTTTGATCTGATCTGATCTGAATGTTTCTGATCTGATCTGAATGTTTCTGATCTGATTTGAATCCTTCTGATCTGATTTGAATATTTCTATAATTATAATTATAACTATAATCATAATTATAATAATATAAAAATAATTAATATTAAATTTAAAATTATAAAAGTTTGCCTATTACACTAATTATAACTATAGATACAATTATAATTTTAAGTATAATTATAACATTTTCTCAATAATTATAATCATAAATAGAATTTTAATTACTCCGTATAATAATAATAATAATAATAATAATAATAATAATAATAATAATAATAATAATAATAATAATAATAATAATAATATATTTATTAGTATTATTATTATATAATAATCATATTATTATAATAAAATAGTAATATTAATATCATTATTATTTATATTGTTATTATATTATCATAATTATATTATATTATTATTGTTGTTGTTTATATTATTATTATATTATTATTATTATTTTAACTAATATAATAATATTATTAATATATTTTTATTAATAATTATAATTCAATAATTATAATAATTATTATTATTAATATAATAATAAAAGTGATAAATCATGTTTGAATTTTTCTGATCTGATTTGATCTGGATGTTGTTGATCTGAATTTTCTGATCTGATCTGAATCTTTTTTATCTGAATTTTTCTTATCTGATCTGATCTGCATAAAATAAGAGTAACTAATACTCCCTCCGTCCCCTTTTATTTAGCCAATCACCTTTTTCCAAGTCAAAGTTGTTCAACTTTGACCAATTATATATTTATACACGGTAATATTGATAATGTGAAAATTATATGAAAATGTTCTTTGTTAAAAATACTATCATAAAAGTATAAATTTATTAAGTTTTACATAAATATGTTGGTTGAAATAATGGATCAAAGTTTATCAACTTTGACTGGAAAAGTCAAAGATGGCTAAATAAAAAGAGACGGAGGTAGTAAGAAATACGTAGTAGGGAAAAGGGGCAAAAACACCCCTGAACTTGCCAGGGGGATCTAGGCCCATAAACTATTTTTTTGAGCAAAAATCTTTAATAAACCTTGAAAAAGGGCAAAAAACCCCTTTAAGACTTCAAGTAACAGAAACAAACTAACGGAATTGAACATGCAAGTAGGGGTGTTTCGGTACGGTATACCTTATATTTTTTTCTCATACCTTTGCCGTACCAAAACTTTCGGTATGCAAATTTTGCATACCTTTACCTTACCGAAGTTTCGGTATACCGCATTTCGGTATACCGAAGTTTCGGTTCGGTAACGGTACGGTATCGGTAAATTACCGTGCATGTCTCCCAATACAAAAAATTATCATAGACTAATGAAATATAGTAAATCGTTATTACTAGCGACTTATTAAATCTATTATTAAAATGTTACGAAATACAATTAATAATATATTGATGTCAATTCAATATTGAACAATAATTATAATTAGTATATTTAAGCAGTTCAACATACCACATATTATAAAGTAACACATTCTCCTAAAATAACTTGAACAATATAGATATAATTAAATTAATAGTGATCTCTAACAAAAATAAATAAAACTATTCAAACAACATGGATATAAAATCATTTATTCCTAATATGATATTGTGCATTTAGTCATTTTTATAATTTTTTAAAAATTGAATAAGACTTTCGGACAAAGTTGTGTGTCTCGACTCGCTGAATCCCTATGTAGATACACTTGTCACATAAGTGTATCTCTCTTCACTCGTCAGCTACTTAGCGGCCCAGCCATCACGACTTGCAAGCTCTTGGAACAAGATGGACTTGTTTCTTGACATTTGTACATTACTCATTAGTCATTTAAGATTAGCATAGTAGAAGCCTACATTTAACATTACTCATTTGTACCACTATAAGGTTATAGTGGCTTTGAGAAATTGGGCCTTTATTTTTTAATTTTTTGTATTTGTAACCAACTTAAGTATTAATTTTGGGCTTCAAAATTGTAATGGATTTCTACAATGTATTAGAATTAAAAGTAATTGTTGAGTAGGGAGTCGGTACGGTATTATACCGGTATACCGCGGTATTTGAAAACATTTACCGTTACCGTACCGAAATAGACCGGTACGGTATGATACCGTACCGAAAATGACGGTATACCAATATTTCGGTATTTTCTGGTATTTTTCGGTACGGTAAGTGCGGTATACCGATATTTCGGTATTTTTGCCCAACCATTGCTCGGTTGCCTTATACAGGCCGTAATTAAGAGAAATACGTACGTAGTATGTTAGAATATTTGATATCATTTCTTTTAAATTTTATTAGCTTGTGCTAAATTGAAGAAAAAAACTGAAATATTTTGGTCCTCAAATCATCACACGTGCTCACCCAACAAAATATTTATTTTAGATTAATATTATTGATAGAGTATATGGGCCTGGACCCCATGGCCCACATACTCAACGGCCCAAAAGACACCAGCGGGACACCCGCGTCGTCCAGAGGAACGTAGCGTCCAAGAGAGAAGATATCGCCTGATTTCTATGGACCGCATCGTCCATGGACCGCATCGTCCATGGACCGCGTCGTCCATGGACCGCATCGTCCATGGACCGCATCATCCATGGACCGCATCGTCCGGACTTCGTCCGGGCAGAATGTATTTTCCTATTTTTTATACTAAGTGTTGTACACAGCCCATTAGTGGCCTTATTTCGCCCAAAGAAGGCATGATTATTGTAATGGGCCTCCTAAGCCCAAGGCTAGAAGCCCAAACCCACATTTTTACCTATAAATAGACCCCAAGGGGCTAATTATAGGGGGTCCCAAATTGAGAAATATAATCACTCGCTTTCTCCCTCTAGCTCTCACTTCTCTCTAGAACTAATACCCTATCATTTGGTGCTTTCATTGAGAGCTTAGA